GGGCAATCTGGGGAAGGCAAAATAAAGTGGAACTTTTAGATTCAGATTTTAGATTGCCTCTTTCAAATGAGTGCTGTCTGAATTCTTGTATGATTATTTCTATTGACTTATTTTAAGATAAAAGAACAACAGCAATATATATATATATATATATATCTGTTTTTATTGTGCTATGGGTACACTGCTGTGGGGAAGGGAGAAATACATCTTTGGGTGGGTAGATTGGTCTTCCTTGCTGACAGCAACCTTTTAAATGATGAAACAAGAATTTTTCAAACCAACCTGCCCCAATCTGGCATGTTCAAATACAGTAGAATTGCACCAACTCCCATGATTCCCTTTAAGCATGGCCAGCTTTGGCCATGAAGACTAGAAAAAGAGGCTAAGGCAGGTGACCCTTTCATCATGATAACATGCAGCTTGTCAAATTGCATTTTCAGGCCTAGGGAATTCTGGGAGTTGGTCCACACACCTTAAAGCCGGTGAGGTTGAGAAACACTGCTCTAGCCTCAGTTTCTCTGTTTCCTCCTCACTTCCCTTCCTGGTTCTCTTTCACACACATACACACCCTGTGCACCATGGGTCTGTCCATCCCAAACATTGCGACTATTACATGACATCCCTTACCCCTTTTATTTCACATCCCTTAACTTCAAAAAGAATTTGGGTTTAAGGAGAAGGAACAGTGTGTTGAACTGAAGGAGTCCATCTGTAGGCCTTTCCCCCTGCTAAATTAAAGTGCTCTCCCTCCATTCTTGAGTCAGAGAAAAATCAATTAATGGAGTTTGTTGTCCCTATGGCAGTCCTTCTGCTGCCTCTATGTTCTCTGTTCCAGGCACTGCCAATTACTCAACTCCCCTCCAAGCATAACAAACTGTCCACTCCTTGAAGCATGGAGTCAGAATAAGGGTGAAAATATTACTTTAACGCCAATGCAACTAAGGATGATTTATCTTCACTTATGGAGTGAGGATGATATGAAGCACAAGGAGGAAAAAATGTTTTCAGGGCATGATTGTGATGTGGATAGTTCCAAGTAGGGACATGTCTTCTCCTTTTGAGGAACATCATTTGAGGCAGGAGTTCATAGAAGTGAACATTCCTCCATAAAAAACTTTGGATGTGCTCTTTTCAAAGTATCTGTCCATATGGAGGAATTATTTAATGAGAAAAGCTTTTCAGTCATACCAATTCCTAAATCTGAGTGGTATAGCCGAACACGTTGATCTAACCCATGAGAACAAGGCCTCCTGTATTAGAACAAGAACCCAATCTGAAGGTTCATCAAAACTACCTTCAGTTTTGAGTTATGGAACTTTCTTCTAAGAAGAAATGAAGTACTTTCAAGTTTGGTTTCATCTGACTTTTTGCTTGTGATGTTTTGGTAGAATACTTAGTTATTTCCTAGGGTTCAAACATAGTGTATGGAGGTGGGGTGGGCAAAGGCTAGAAGAACTCTTTCACAAGACTGGAAGATGCTGAAGCATGGTCCAGATTGCAATTTCAGGAAAAAAAAACATAGACTCTGCCATCATTTGCGATTCGATAGACATAGATAGCACAGGTCTTGCACTCCTGATGACTGAGCAAGGCTGGTTTCTTGATGATTACAAATGCCCTGAAAACATGTTTCCTCCTTGTGCTTCATATTATCCTTATTCCATAAGTGAGGATAAATCATCCTTAGTTCCACTGGTGTTAAAGTAATATAAATTGTAATCATCACCATCATCTACAAAACTTGCTTCTCAGAGGCAACAAAGGGGCAGGTACCATGGATGGCAATATTCCGAGCATGCCTCCATCGCAACTTAAAAAAATATGGAATATTTCCTTCCAATAGATTGGTGGCGTTTTGGATTTCATGTTCCCTGCATTGCAGAGTCTTTCTTTATGCTATCCCTTGGCAAGTGGCCAACCCTTTTCACTCTTAGAAGAATTAATGCCTCTCCCATCAGATCTTTTTTTATCCCATGACCCCCCACCTACCCCAAGATTCAGAAGAATTTAGGTTAGTTAATTATCAGCCTTACTTTATTTGATTAGACCCAGCCTTGCCAAACTACTAGTAGCTTTTGATTTCTCTGCAAGAGCACAATAAAGCAGAAGCAAGCTTTGCAGAAAAACCAGTGTTTTATTGGGGTTATTAATTTATGAGGACTGGGAACAAAACAGAGTGAAATCTCCACTGAGCCATTGGAAACACTGGATGCTCCCAGGATAGTCAGTCTCCCACAACATCTACTGCATAGGGTTGCTATGAATATACAGTTTTTTAAATGGACCAATTTTGTATTTGTGTCCCAAATTTCTTGGACTATAGACAGGCTGTAAATACCTTTCCATTTAAGTTTGAGACAGCCAGCAGCCTCACATTAGATAATGTCATCCTTTGTCCTACTCTATTGCTTTGGCTTCCCCTTTTCCAGATTAAATTAAAGCAGGGTTTTGCATCTCTTACTGAAACCATGGAGGACGTGGCCCTAACTCCACACATCAGCTATAGTCACCCTATATCCTTTATTATAAAGGACAGTCCTTTATTTCAGAAAGCTGTCCTTCAGATTTATTTAATTTAGTTACAGTATTTATTTTCTCGGTTTTGCTCTTGAATTTTCCTTTGTAAAGCAAAGTTATAAACATAAACAATTAACTTCTTAAAAATCCTCATGGACCTCTTTCAGATTTGCCCCTTTTTCAGGTTTGTCCTTTATTTTTTCCAAGAAACTATAGTCACTGTACGTCACTGACCATAAATGCCAGATTCAAGAAGGAAACTGAAGGCCAAGTTTGACTTCTTGCATTTAAAATGCATCATTTTGCAAATGCAAGTAACAGCTGCTGGAAAGGAGAACGGTGGTAATTAGAGGTTAGAGCAGAAAACAGAGTTTCACTTTTTCTTCACCTGCTGAACAATTGCTTTCCAGTTCTTCTAACCCAGGATTTCTCAAACTGGGCAACTTTAAGATGTGTGGACTTCAACTCCCAGAATTCTGGCTAGGGGATTCTAGGAGTTGAAGTCCACCTCTTAAAGTTGCCAAGGTTGAGAAACACTGATCACTGTTGGGATCATTTGTGCCAAAGATTATGCAAGCAGCAATTTCAGATTAGTTTTTCAGGCAGGATCAAAACAGAGAAAGCAAGAGTCCCCCCCCGCCCCCTTCTTGCTGCTGCAACTCTAATTATTGTACATGCACCCTGTTAACAGAAACTATTTGTGTTTTCAAACTGTACATGAAATCTAAAGATGAATTTAATGCCACATCAGTTAGGTGCAGCTGTCCTGAAGACAAACGTTCCTTGCATCTGAAAACTCCCCTTCACTTAGCCTTTCAGAGGCAATTACAGTGGGGCAAAAAAGTATTTAGTCAGCCACCAATTGTGCAAGTTCTCCCACTTAAAAAGATGAGAGAGGTCTGTAATTTTCATCATAGGTATACCTCAACTATGAGAGACAAAATGGGGAAAAAAATCCAGAAAATCACATTGTCTGATTTTTAAAGAATTTATTTGCAAATCATGGTGGAAAATAAGTATTTGGTCAATTGTGCAAGTTCTCCCACTTAAAAAGATGAGAGAGGTCTGTAATTTTCATCATAGGTATACCTCAACTATGAGAGACAAAATGGGGAAAAAAATCCAGAAAATCACATTGTCTGATTTTTAAAGAATTTATTTGCAAATCATGGTGGAAAATAAGTATTTGGTCAATTGTGCAAGTTCTCCCACTTAAAAAGATGAGAGAGGTCTGTAATTTTCATCATAGGTATACCTCAACTATGAGAGACAAAATGGGGAAAAAAATCCAGAAAATCACATTGTCTGATTTTTAAAGAATTTATTTGCAAATCATGGTGGAAAATAAGTATTTGGTCAATTGTGCAAGTTCTCCCACTTAAAAAGATGAGAGAGGTCTGTAATTTTCATCATAGGTATACCTCAACTATGAGAGACAAAATGGGGAAAAAAATCCAGAAAATCACATTGTCTGATTTTTAAAGAATTTATTTGCAAATCATGGTGGAAAATAAGTATTTGGTCAATTGTGCAAGTTCTCCCACTTAAAAAGATGAGAGAGGTCTGTAATTTTCATCATAGGTATACCTCAACTATGAGAGACAAAATGGGGAAAAAAATCCAGAAAATCACATTGTCTGATTTTTAAAGAATTTATTTGCAAATCATGGTGGAAAATAAGTATTGACCAAATACTTATTTTCCACCATGATTTGCAAATAAATTCTTTAAAAATCAGACAATGTGATTTTCTGGATTTTTTTTCTCATTTTGTCTCTCATAGTTGAGGTATACCTATGATGAAAATTACAGACCTCTCTCATCTTTTTAAGTGGGAGAACTTGCACAATTGGTGGCTGACTAAATACTTTTCCTGCTCCCTGAACCCAAGATGCACACCTTCCTTTGTTGCTTCTTTCAGCTTTGCTCTGCCAGCAACATCTAGCAAAAAGAGACTTGATCCCACAGGGATTGCCTCTTCCCCCAGCAGTCCAGCTGTTGCCATTATGAAAGTGTCTGACTCTGGATGGCAGCAATTCCCAATCTGTCCATCATCCAGAGGGACCGAAAAATGGCACAACAGTCCTTTGGGAGTAGCCAGAAGGAACTTGACTCCCTTTCAGTCATTTAAAAAAAAAGATATTTCCAGATGTCCTTTCTTCCAATTAGAGCTGTCTGGGTATCTGCAAACCAGAAGTGGAGAAAATAGCAAATCACCCAAAACCAACCAGTTGTTCATTAGTGTGCTTCCCAGACAAAGCCAAGGTAAATCAAATGTCCTCAGGAAAAGAAGCCCATTTCTTTCTTTCCTACACTTTTGTTCTTATCTGCTGCTAATCATTTATGCCCATGTGGCTGATAAATATGCTCAAACTGTATTTCTTAAGTCAAAATCCCTTGGTATTATTTTTTACAAGCAACACTATTGTGTTTTCTTTATTTGCAGATATTTCTGACAGGACACGTTTAATGGCCAAGTGCTTTATAACTTTATTGGCTTGCCCTCACAACAACCCTGTGAGGTAGGTCACTTATTCCTGCCAAAAAGGTGGAGAATTGGGTTGATCAAAGTGACTCACCAAAGGCCCTAAGCAGCATTCCCCAACCTGGTACACTCCAACTGTTTGGGGCACATCATGACATCACTGTAGCTTCCACTGGACACCTGGGCTTTTGGACAACCACTCATCATCCTAGCCAATTCAGGTGACACATCTGGAGGTCTCCAGGTTGTGGAAGGCTGGTCTACATCCAGCTGACAGGACTAGGAGTCCTGAGACCCACCTCTGCTCAAGTTCTACCCTCTATCCACTGAAACATATATTCCTTTTCCTACTTGCTTTTTTAGAATTCAGTTCTACACAGGTTAGAATGCTAACAAAACAATTCAAAACATTTCTTTTCTAGCCCCACAATCTTTAGAGATACCTTTTCCAAATTCAGGACCAATTCCAATGTTAGCCAGCTTCTTGTGTTGTGAGATGCAGGAAGACTGAACCCTCATGGGAGAGGAACCCACTTTGCATGCAACAGGGCTCAGCTTCCATCCCTGCTTGCTCCAGTCAAGGGCTCAGGAAGGAAAGGCCTTTCCCCACAAGAGACCTCTTGCTTGGTAGGGCAAAGCAAGCTGAGTTAGACACCCAAACTCTTACACTTGGCATCAAGCACCACTCCCATTCCCATGTATGTTGATTCATTCTGTCCCTTCTGGGAGAGAGGGGGATCACTCTCAAGCCCTGATCTATTCTCTGCCAGGCCTGTGGCATTTCAGGGCCTGCCATACCTGAGCCAGCAAAAACAGCCATTGGAGAAATTGCAAGGGGCAGGCCTGCTCTGCTTGGACTGGCTGCTTCATGGAATGTGAGCCATCGGCTGGGAGGGGAACATGCAGTAGAAGGTGACAGATTTGCTATTCCATACTGCTGAACTGGCGGGCAGAGGGAGGAAGGGGAAAAAGTTACCTCTATTTTTTTTTTAACGTTCTTGAAAAAAGGTACCTTGGCCTATCAGGGATAAAAGTTCTAATTCAGCCAATTTATGGCTTTATTAAGATGTGGGGTTTCTTGGGGGGCAGAGGGAATTGGAAGCATCCAAAAAGTCTTTCATCTTTAATCTAGAGCAACTCAAGTTCATTCTGTTGCTTCTGAACTTTATCATCTCAACTTCACGCTATCATTGGGTGCACAGATGGCGTTCAGCCCTTGCCACATTAAAAAAGCCACCCCAACAAATTGTGTGCTACACTTCATGCTCTAGCACTTATTGGAAGTCACTGACCTCGGGAGTTTCTGGTTTAGCCAACCGTGGTCCCAGTTCACTATTCCCTGCAGCCATATTGCTTTGTTTACAATTGGCTAGAAGTCCTGAGGCACATTGTCTATAATCCTGGGATGCTATGCTAGGAAGCCACTCTTACTAACACATTGCTTGCTTATTTAGTGTGTATATACATGTGTATGTGGTTCTACACACACACAAACACACATACAAAAATAGTGTTTAGTGTCATTATCACGATAACAAATTGCTCTCTATGGACTAGAAACTAGAGACATCTCAACTGCTTTCGCACTTCTCAACCCATCCCTGCTTGCCTATTTTGCTGGGTACTGCTATTCTGAAGTCATTGACCAGAACTGTTCTCCTTCTTTCTCACCTCCACGTGGCCCTAAGGAGGGTCATTAAAAAAATGAAAAGTATCCTCCAAATAGACCGGATTTAATGATTATGAATACTACAGGGGGACAACACTTTGATTTGATCTCCAAAAACTGCTCTGGAGCTCAGGAAGCATGAATGGTGGCACCGTTTGCAATGAGAGGTGCCGTGGTTCATGTTCCTATAGTTTTGGAAGACCAAATTGAAGCCCTACGCAATCCTAGAGAATACACGTGACACATACTTCCACCAGGCAAAGTGATGGGATAATAATTCCCAAAACATGTGAGCCAGAGAAGAAAAGCATCCTTGGCAAAATTAAGCTACCATATCAGAAACAGCAATCACTTAATTCTAATGGAGCTAAAGATCTCTTGTTGATTTCCCCCTCTCTCTGTTGTGAAAAAAAAAAGGGCCAAAGCTCTGTGGAAGATAACTTGTCTGATATGTAGACATGCCCAAATTCAGTTCCTGGCTTTACCCAATACTGTGTGTGTGACCGCTTCCTGAAACCCTTAACAGTTGCAGTGGTTCAGTGTGGATAATAATTGGGAGAAGTAACCAAAAATCCAGCTTCATACATGTCTCTTGTCTTCTTTGTGGAAAGCAAGACAAGAGCTCTTAATTAAGTTTAATTAAGTAGCGTGGGAAAAGCCCAAAGCCAGAAGCACATTTTTATTCCCAAGGAAGATGAACAATTAAATAGACCGGCCTTCCCCACCTGGCACTCTCCAGATGTGTAGCAATATTTCCATCATCCCTGTTGGCTGGGAAGAATGGGAATGATTGTCCAACTCAATTGGAGAGAATCTGGTGAATCAGACTGGGTTAGGCAACGTGCTGACTGGTTTGCACATTTGAACATCTTGGGGGAGCTCCCATGAAATAGCTGATAGACACCTGCCTATTTGCAAAACAGCTTCTACAGTGGGCATGACCAATGAGGATGATTCCTGTTATGCCCCACAAAAAGTGGTGACCAACTGGTTCTTTTTTTTTCCTAAGTCAATAGATACATTTTCAAAAAAAATACATGTGGCCACCGTTCCATTTCTATTCCTGGAAAATAATGTGCATTGAATCTAGAGATATTTTTGTAAACAATTAGGATGTTAGAAGGTGGCGTTTAGCTTGCAGAATGCCAGCTTTCACTGGAAGCGCTAATTTAAAAGGAAGTGAAATGGGGCAGGGAGCTTTGTGGACGCAAAGAAGAATGCAGAACTACCAGCCCACACTTTGCTCCATCCTGACGCAGAACATGCTGCAGCTGCAGAGGGAGGCGCCCCTTGCTCTTGGCCTGGCAGCTGGTTGGCTAAATACAAACCTGCCTTTTTGAGTGCAAAAAAGAAGTGTACTTTAACATTTAATCCAGAAAAAAATGCTTTGCCTCACGGTATCAAGAGTTTGGGCACCACTATCATACATTCACTGCTGGTTCACTGCCATGACCACAGCAGCAAGTAATGATCTCTTGCAGATCAAATGGGCATTGACAATTTCCATATCACCCTGGGAACAATGGAGACAGTAGAGAGGGTTTTAGCTGTGGGAGCTGAGTAATAGTCATGTGAAGTACGCCATGCATATGTGACCCTTATGGGCCCTTCGCTGAGCTGATGAAAGCACTCTCCCACCCCCTGCTGTTTTTCCACTCCCATTTGTTTCACAATGAACAAAACAAAGCCCGTGTCTCTTATGTATGTAACCATCTAGTTTGGCCCTAAGCATAATACACTATGTACACATGGTGTGCCTGTTCATTGTACTCTACTTACATAGTTACTATCCTGCTTATGAGGTGGTTTGCTTCAAGATGACACTTCATTAATTAAACAGAGCCAATCATTTTCAAAACCAGCTCAGGAAATGCCACATCTTAGAAGAGACTTCCCAGTGAGAGAGTGACAGAAGTTATCTGGGCTAAAAATCATCCTCCCCAAAGACTGTATGGGAAAGGATGACAGCTTGATTGCTAGCGTCAAAATGAAAATTAAAACCTTAGGACCATTATTGTCATTCAGCCTGTCTTGTCCCCCGCTCTTTGTGGCATCATTGTTAGTTTCATCCTTGAAGAACATGCAGTGCAATGGAAATGAAGTTGCACTAATGCATGGTTTTTAAAAAGTAGGCTGCAACATGCTGTGATTGGGATGTGTTTGGCTGTGTGTGTATCTCCTTTTGGGGACCGGTTGTGTAAAGCAACACTGCCATGTGAATGCACAACAGGCAGGCCGCTGGGATGCAGCAGAAAGATTTTTTTTACTTGCAAACCTCCCTTTACAAACAAAGTCAGTCGCTGGAGAACATGATGTAGCTTTGCAACCTGATTCAAAATTCATCTTCAGAGCTATCTGCTAAAAGCATCACCCGGTCTTGCATGCTGTTGAATTCTCTCTGCTAGTTGGGGGGGGGGGGGGGGGGGGGGGGGGG